ATAGTTTGTGAGTGTACACGCATGCAATTTAAAAATGTACATAAATAGCATGCTAAATGCACTCTTGTTTAATCCTGAAATTTGGAAGTGCCTGCTAAAGTTCAAAATGTACAAAACATCACCATCTGGCACTTCCATTTCTAGATGTATATATTAGAGATTCTTATAACAAGAGCAGATGAACATGCATTTCAGCATTATTTGTAACACTGAAAAACTAAAACCATCTATATATCTACCAATACATGAATGAGAAAGGGAGAATGCAGAGAATGCGATGTGGTGAAAGTGAATTAATTATAGCCCCCTTTCTGCCTGGTTTATATCATCAACCCTATAAAAGCATAATAGGTGCTTAGTTTTTATCCACTGAGTAAATTATTAGAATTTGTAAATAAATACATATAAAATAACCTAGTTATGACGTGATTACTCCATTTTGAAGGACTGGTGCAGATAGATATAATCACCATTGAGCTAGACTATAAATAACCAGCAAGATAAAAAAATATACTCTATACATCTATTCCTCATCTTTTTTCTCCATCCTTCTTCCTCAGCTGTGTCTCCCCTTTTCATTTCCTTTTCTTTTCTAATTCACCCAATTATAGCGGCAACTCTTTGATACTTTCACTTCTTGAACTACAAGGTTTATGGTTTTTTTAAAAAAGAAAGGAATCATGATAATATTAACAAAATGCTTTAGTGTAAGTGATAATACTACCAATGAAAAGTGGTATTTTTCTACAGGTTACTAAAATGTACCAAAAAACTGTTAATGTATATTAGAACTATTACATTTTTATGTATCTTTTGTTTGCTATGTAAATATTTACTATGTACATGTTTACTATGATTAAAGAATTTTAATGTGACAGAATTTTGTTGTACATTTTTCACTACAGACTATCATGTATTAATGTAGTTATTAAATCCTTTTAGAACAAACCTTTAACACAGGCAGCCTAGATGTGGAGAAGGAACTGGAAAAAAAATAAAAATAAAAGCATTGCTTATCAGGCTTATCATTCAGACTTCCTAAATGAATGCATCAGAAATGCTCAACTAATCAGGGTAGGTCTCTCAAGGACAGAAGATAGTTTATGTCTACTCATCCTGGGCTGTGTGTGGTAATGGTTCATAATGGACAGAAAATCTTTATTGCATTATCAAGGGAGCTATAACTTAGTTTACACAGTTTGTGTAAAGGAGAAAAAGATAGGGTTCCCTGTACCTCTTTTCATTATTTCTGTTTTGTGGAATAATTAGATTTTAGTTGCACACATTGAAAATATAAAAGAGTTTAAATATGAGATAGTTTCATTTTTTCTGAAACTCTAAGAATTACAAACTTAGAATTAGTTTACATGCTGTGAGTTGTATGTAAAATGTGAACAAAATCAAAATTAGTACATGTTGATGAATATAGTTAGGCAGTAATTATTACTTGAAGTAAATAGTAAAGTTTTAATTGCTGAAGGATAGGAAGTGATAGTAAAACATGGAAAAGACATTTCCTCTTTTAGTAAGCTCTGGCATTCTAACTATGTTTAATGAAATGCCAATGAGTAAGTTAACATCCCTGACCATAGGAATTCAGTCTCACAGGAGAAAAAATATATGTAAATCAATAAATCCATGATGGTGTCATAGGTAATACAGGATGCTGTTGGGGGGCATCAAAAATCTGTAAGGATGAATAGATACTTGACAAGTCACATAGGCACTAGGAATGTTCTAGGCCAGTAGTGGCAAACCTATACCACAAATGCTGCAGCCAGTTGTTTGTTATCAGTGCAAGCTCTAAAAGGTTTGCCATCACTGCTTCAGGCAGAAGAAATGATGTAATGCTGTTTGAGAGAAATTACACCACATAGCAAGTTTGAGAAGCTACATCTAGTTTTATATACATTAGAAGTATAAGGTTTGATATGAGTTGAAAACTGAACATAAAAGTAGGCTGTGAATCAACTGGAATGTGATACTTTAACAATTTTTAAAGATACTACGTGCCCGATTCTTTACCTCTCCACTCTCTCCTTTTAACTTTCTAATCTAGGCACTCTAATCACTATCCACACTGAATGTCTTCCAGTTCTTCCAAATTCAGCAAATTTTTTTGAATATTTATTGTGTGCTGGGCATAATCATAGGCAAAGGGGAGATACATCAGTGAATAAAGTAGATATGTTCTCTGCCTTCACATAGCTTACAGTCTGCATCTAACACTGATATGTAGGCAACTAGTATACAGCTTGTTATGTGTTAAATAATACAGTAAACATTGCTGGTGTGGGAACACCAATTAAATCCATGTGTGTCCTGAGTGAATGAATAATGAGTAAGATTTGATGAGAATTAGAATTAAGGTCATGGGAGTCAGAAGGAATAGAAGAGAAGAACTTTTAGACAGAGGCAACCAAGTGAAAATGTGAAAGCCTAGAGATGAGGAGAAATAGCACTTTTTCAGCAGGCTTCCCTGCGCCATCATAGCCCATTGCAGTCCATTCTTCCCACATCAGATTGATCTTTTAAAAACATAAACATGTCAGTCTTCTCAGAATCCTTCAGGGGCTTCCTGAAAAATAAAATTCAGTGTTCTAACCATGGCCCCCAGTTGCCCTACTTGACTTTTCCTACAGCGTGCCTGATCTTACCACACTCTTATCTTGGCTTACACTACTCCAATCATTGTAGCCTCTATGCTATTCCTTTAGAATTCCAGACATGATTTCATATTTAGTATTGATAGCCATTTGCCATGATTCATGGTCTTTGCACAAACTGTTCTTTGTAGAAGCTTTTTCCAACATGTCTAGTTGGTTGGTGACCCCTTCTTCAATCAAAGAGTCCTGTACTGACATTTTATAAAGCAAAAGCCTTGTCAGTCCCATCTTCATTATGTTAACAGTTTATTGCACATTATTTTTCATAATTGGAGATGGTAGTATTGTATGAATTATCTTACTCATTCTAAGCACCATGCGAATACTTTATATGATTGTTTTTACTGCTACTTTCCTAATGTTTAAACACTTTTATATATAGTTCTAAACACATATTATTCAATTCTACATAGGTTATGGATACGATATTTTTATTATACCTTTTATGGATACGATATTTTTATTGCACCTTTTCATTATATCTACCTGAGTACATAACTGTTATGTGAATTGATATCATTAAAGCCCAATTTTTAACCAAGTTAAATTTTTAAATATATTTTTAAACATACATATTCTTATAATAAGAATTTTCAATTTTCTTAGCTAATAGTGAAAACATTCATAGTATTGTGTAGTGCATAGTTCTGGGTTATAAATTCATAGTTAAGAGCCAGGGATATTGCTCAATGGCACAGCACTTGCCTGGCAAGCACAAGATCCTGAGTTTGATCCCTAGTACTAAAAAATAAATTCATAGTTAATTGCTATTGATACTGCAGCATGTGAGATTTAATAATGTCTGAATCACTGTGGTTACATATGTAAACCCAGTATTATAATAATATTAAAAATAACTTCATTTTAGGGCTGGGGATTTAGCTCGGCGGTTCTACCACCTGCCTTGCAAGCGCAAAGACCAGAGTTCGATCCCCCATATCCAAAAAAAAACCTTCATTTTAAAATACAAAAACTTAAGCAGTTGTTTTGTAACAGGTTTTTTTCCTTTAAAGTTATAACATTATCAGTGATAACTTCAACAAATCAAAGATACAGCTACAATATATTAAATAGGCAAAGATTAAACTATTGTGCATTTCAGTTGTTTAAGATACTACAATTTTGCACAGAACTCTCAAAAATATATTGGTTATAGAGTGGACACTTTGCCAAGAGTTTATGTGCCACATATTGCTAGTCCTAGTCAATACTAATTATAGGAAAACTGGAAGGGGATGTTGCCAGAACTTCTGCCATGGGTCCTGGCCTCCTGTGAGCCACTATAGAACAAGGTGAATTGAAGAAGACAGGAAACTAGACTTAGAGTGAGGAAGTTGGGTCTCGGCACCAGGTCGTTGCTGCTCTGAGCAACAAAGACAAAGGCCCCCAACCACATCCAGTATTTATTGAATACAGTCTTGGGAAGGAATAAGAAATAGGAAGGAATAGCCTGGTATGCTTTGAAGGCATCTAGTGACATAGTGCGGAACACCTGGCATGACGGCACCACGCAGGTCTGTTAGGGAATAAGCACTGCTTATCTTGCTTGGATAGAACAAACAGGTGCTAGGACCAGGTGCGTTTAGCAAGTAACCCACAAGGTCACTGAGAAGCCACAATTCAGGGAAAAGGATTTTAATTGGAGTCACACTGACCTCAGCTGCACATAATTCAGCAGAGCCCTGCCACTTCACATACCAGGGCCTAGGTTTCTGTGGCAGCCACTGGGGGAGAAAACATACTTGCCGAGTCCACCATCTGACATTCCCATTTGAATCACATAGAGCTTTGATAATGACTCCTGATATAAAACAATATAGCCAAATTATGAAAAGCAAGAAGCAGGGGCTGCTCATAGCCCACTAATACTGGGCAGGGATGTCTGCAACAATCATTCAGTTATTTTACTCATCATCACATTTCTATTGTTCTGTAAAACTTATATCTCTTCCACTTTCCAAGCATAATCTGTACAGCCTTGAGTGGAAAACAGTCTTGGATGAACAGTTTATGGCTCTTAACACTGTACAGTGGTAGAAGAGGTGACCTAGAGTTGATTCTAAACAGATTTTTCATTTTATAATCTATTAAGTTTCTTCAAATCGAAATCATCTAGCATTGCCTGCCCCACTGATCTTTTTTTCCTATGTAGTGCCTTCCCAGTCATGTCCTGTTACTAAAACCATTTAAGATGAATAGATAATGACCACATATCAAATACAAGTGTCAATTTTTAGATCATAAATTAGTAGATCAGCAAGATATGAAATGATAAAATTTAAGGGTTGCCTATCTGTTACAAATATAAAGTTTTTTCTCTTGCAAAAATTATAGGGGATGGAGTGTTAGATCTCTCTACAAAGAAAACCAGCATAAAATCTGAAGAGTCATCCATATGTGATCCTTCTTCTGAAAATTCAATGGCTGGGTAAGCAATATCTAGGAAATATAAGTTAATATTAATATAAAATTATCTCTACAGAGAACTCTTCTATTCTGCGTAGTACTGACATATGTAGTTTTCCTCCTGAATTTTTTCACTCATAGTGTGTCTCATACCTTTCATTTGTCCTTTCTCTTCCTTTTTTATTCTTTCTGTTAAAGAAAAGTTATCAGAACAATCACCAAACTTTAGTTAGTTCTTGTTAAAAATGAACTACCAACTTAATCATAGAATACAAACTAAGAAGCAGGACAAGTAAGAGAATTTTAAATATCCAGGTGGAAATTTTAAGGGAAATATGTACTCTAAATACTTAATTTTGTAAACCAATGAACAAATTCTAAAAGTTCTGTACTTACTAATTCTTAAAGCTAGTCTATAGTATTTACATTTTTTTCATAGTGCTTTAGATGTGGTGGCAAACGATTTAATATATTTAGCAATCACCACAAAAATTCCTGTTTTGAAAAGCAGTCATTAAATTAATTTAAAACAATAATTAGTGAAATGCTATTCTGTTGGATTTTGGGGGGGTTTGTAACTTTTGCATCTTCCCATTACATACAAAGCTTTTTTGTCACATTAAATCTGACTTGTAGAGCATAATTTGATCAAGAAAGGCTGCAGTAGGATTTGAGTCGTAGGGTATAGTAAACTTTCTAAGAACTGAAAATTACAACACTTCTAAAATAGAAATAACTATTATAGTATCTAAAGTGAAATTACTGTGTTCAAATACAGCCTGTTTCAAATCTTAATTTTTTTCTAGAGGAAAATTAATCTTGTGGGAAAACAGAATGTTTATGTTTGGAAATACTCTTGCTGCTACAAATTTCCTTTAAATGGGTTGACTCTTTTATTACTTGTTTAGCGGTAACGTCACGTTTCTACTAACAAAAACTCCTTTAGGATTTGGGTATTTTTTTTTATAATGGAACTCTAATTGTACAAATAAAAATTATATGTGTTGCTCTGCAAGCATCTTTCAGAAGAATAGCAACATCATGAGAGTATTTTTACAAATACTGAGTTAGGATTTTATGTTCTTGGAAGGTTTGCCTGTTGAGGCCACCGTACCATTGACACATTGTCCTACCAGGACTGTAGCATTTGCTTTGATAAGGAGTAACTACTACATCTCACAGACTTAAAAGTGTCATAAGCAGTGATGTTACCTAAGCAAGGAGTATAATAAAGGAGTGGACCCTTCCCTTCCATAGCTGTGTGAGAGTCTCTCATGCATCAGTTTACCATCGTTTCATTCCATCCATCCAGGAGACTACACAGAAACAGAGAGGACTATGTGGAAAGAAGTGCTGAGTTTGCAGATGGTTTGCTCTCAAAAGCTTTGAAAGACATTCAGTCTGGAGCACTGGACATAAATAAAGCAGGCATACTTTATGGCATACCTCAAAAAACTTTACTTCTCCACTTAGAAGCCTTACCAGCAGGGAAGCCTGCATCTTTTAAAAACAAAACTCGAGATTTCAATGATAGTTACTCATATAATGACAGTAAAGAAACTTGTGCAGTACTACAAAAAGTAGCCTTGTGGGCAAGAGCTCAAGCAGAGCGCACAGAAAAAAGTAAACTCAATCTACTTGAAACCTCAGAATTAAAATTCCCAACAGCTTCCAGTTACCTCCATCAGTTAACGCTACAGAAAATGGTTACTCAATTTAAAGAAAAAAATGAAAGCCTTCAATATGAAACTTCAAATCCTACTGTACAGTTAAAAATTCCTCAGCTACGTGTAAGTTCTGTTTCAAAATCACATCCTGATGGTTCTGGTCTGCTGGATGTTATGTATCAAGTGTCCAAAACCTCTTCAGTCCTAGAAGGATCAGCTCTCCAAAAACTGAAAAATATACTCCCTAAACAGAACAAAATAGAATGTTCTGGGCCTGTAACTCACTCAAGTGTTGACTCTTACTTTCTACATGGGGACCTCTCTCCTTTGTGTCTTAATTCTAAAAATGGAACAGTTGATGGAGTCTCTGAAAATACTGAAGATGGATTGGATCGTAAAGATAATAAGCAGCCCAGGAAAAAACGTGGCCGCTATCGGCAGTATGATCATGAAATAATGGAAGAGGCTATTGCAATGGTAATGAGTGGAAAAATGAGTGTTTCCAAAGCACAAGGAATTTATGGGGTACCTCACAGCACTTTAGAATACAAGGTAAAAGAAAGATCTGGAACACTGAAGACTCCTCCGAAGAAGAAACTACGATTACCAGACACTGGGTTATATAATATGACAGATTCAGGGACTGCCAGCTGCAAGAACAGTAGCAAGCCTGTGTAGATTACTTGTTAGGAAAATGTTTGCGTGTATGTGTGTGTGTGTGTGTGTGTGCGTGTGTGTGTGCGCGCGCGCTCGTGCATTTGTGTGTTTGCGTGTATGTGCACAGGTGTGTATTTGTGTGTCTACATATACATGTGTGGGAATTACAAATGCTCATTCTGACAGGCGACATGAAATTTTACAGTTCAAAAACCACTTACATGCCTTTTGAAAAGTTTTATTCAGGGTTTTCACTGTGGACAGAATTATATAGTTGCTTAATTCTGGTAGTTTGTATTTAATCCTTGTATAAATAGGTGAAAAAGATTCAGGTTTTCTTTAGTAGTCAGTAGCATAAAGCGTGGGAAAACAAGTAATTGTAAAGTGAAACATTTTTATTGGTGAAAGAACATTCTGGCCATTCAGTTGAACCATCTTATAATTGAAATATGATATTAATAGTTTATAAACATTTTAACATAACATACTTATTATAAGTATGTGAAAGAACCAATCAAAGTTTAAATACCTATCTCCTTACTAAGAAAAGTTAATATATACAGTATTAATACACTACAGTACATTTTATGAAATATAAAATGCACTCAAGTGCATCCACCAGGAATAGAAAAGAAAACCTTAAAGGACATGTATATGAAATTTAATATTTATCATTTAATAGTTGATTTAGCAGGAAATTGGGGTTTACAAGGTATATGCTTTTTTTAAAAAACTGAAACATAGTTAACCCCAGCAGCTATAGAATCTTTTAATATAAGATGGAATACTAAGAACAAAAAATAATTTAAATTTAATTATTAAAATAATTTAATTTTGTTTTTCATTTGAAAAATAAACTAATGTGTAAGGTTAGAAAAGAAGGTTGGAATGCAACTTAGAGCATGTTTATAATGTGCACAGAAAAAGTTTGAGAATGATAATTTTGATTTAAATGTGCTGGTTAGTTGATGTTATGACTACTTTAAATTTTAAGGATTGTGACACACTCCTACTATTGAAAAAACCTCAGTGTAACTTTAATATATTTGCTGCTGTAACATTTCAAAACATTTTCAGTTTATCAAAATGAATTACAGATTTCATTTTGGTGGGCGATACATTATCATTTTGCTAATAACCAAATTTGCAGTTTTTTCAGGGTCTTGAATAGATTTACAGATATTTAACACTGAAGCTGTTTTGAACTTTCAGTAATGTAAACTCTCTACTAATTGGGTAGTTAGAAGCTGGGCAGTGCATTTTAAATTTTACTAGACCAGTAATTTTTTATATAGCAGTTTTAAAATATGAGTCAGAGTATTCATGTTGAATTTATGGAGTATGCAGTTTTAGTGGTAAAATGTTATAAAGCATGTGCCTCCATATAAAGAATGGGGGTTTGCTTTATATATTCAGAATTTTTGGAGTGCCCCCCTTTTCTCTGTTAAAATTCAGGTTCTGATCATTTTTCTAAGCCAGTTTTTTATGTCCAAAAGGAATTCTTACAGCTGAAATAAAAAACAAGTGCACCTTGTCAAATACTTGTGTTTCTACACTTGTGTTTGTATATATTTAATGATCACATATACATTTAATAGAGAAAAGATTTTCAGCTATTAAATTTAAGAGCTGCTTACATGTAGTTAAAAAAATTAAAGAATAAGAAAATAGACAACCAAGCTGTTATTTGATCTCTGAGATCTATATTGAACACCCTTCAGCTGCTAAAAGTTAATCTGCATACTAGGGTATGAATCCTCTTGCTCCTCCCCACCCCTAAGAAAATATACATAATAGATTACAAAACAGCAGATGTCAGGGTCATCTTTCTTTTTGAAGAATTAAGCCATATTTTGTGAGGGCCAGAACTTGGATTATTTAATATATTTTCCCCTACCCCCATTGAAAAACAAAGTTAATATTTCAAAACAATTTTATTGACCTCTTTATACAGAATTTTACTTGCAAAACTTTGGGGGCTCGAATGCATTACATAATATTTATATTGTATTGAGCTTTTTTATTCCTCACACTATATTTACATTAATAAATTGATTGAGAAGTTTATAGTAAAGGGAAACTTACGGAACACTTTTATATCATTTAAAAGATGACCTGACCAAAAACTTTACAGGATTCATAAATCAGGGATCATTTTGCTATTGACTTCACAGTGATCAGTAGTTTTATAGGTAATATTATAGTTAATTTGCAGCATTTTAGTACTTGTATTATTTATTTTTGGTCAGAAATAGTAAATTAAAAATATTTTTTGATAGTTTATAGGTAATGATCAACCATAACTTTTAAAAGAAACAAAATGTTTCTATTATTGAGTTAACTTTTTGATTACACAGACTAGGAAAGGCAGGGAAATTTATGGGTTCCCCTTCTCCCCTTGGTTCTATTAAGATATTCTTTATGTTAAACTTTCAAAGTACTTTATAAACTTAGTTACCAGTTACTACTTAATTGAAAATTTTCTGAAAAATCCCATTTCAGCAGACTTTTAATGAAAGTGAAAGCAACCCTTATATGCTTTCTATTTATTTGAATGTTCCTCAAGTATTTTATATTTAAAAAAAAAAGAAGGAAAAGAAAAACAGTGCCTGTGTTTTTAGAAAACTACTGCTCAGTAAAGTTGTTTAAAACCATTTCTGGTAGCTAATGACAATTTTATATTAAATTGTATACTAACCTTAGTGAGACTGATTTTTTTTTTTTAGTTGTTTACAGTACAAATACTTGTATTTGTTTTTTAATTGCAGTATTTCTATTGTCGCAGTAATTTAGTTAAACTCTGTGGCTGCCTTGATTTTGACAGATTTTGTTAATATAAACTGATTGTTAGGCAATTAGTTATATTTATGCATAAATCAATTGCACTATAATTCATGAATTATTTATTACAATATTTTCTAATGAATTCATGTATCTGTCTTGTGTTGTAAATGTACTGTAATTCTGTTTCTACTTTGTGTTGTTAAATATCTAAATCTGATTGTATGAATTTAATTGTTCAGTTAACGTGTTTCTAGGTTGTAATTTGTAGTAAAGCACTTCAATGCTTTTGCACTTAAATTTACAACACTGTTGGTGTGTGATTGATTTACTCATTCAGTAAAAGTTTAAAAAGAAAAGCAAAGAAAAATCCTGACTACACTGACTTCTTTGATTCCTTGTAGGAAATTTTATTAAAAATAGTATCAGAAACTAACTTTCTGAAGAAATATTTCAACAAGCTTCTAATGGAAATAAAAAAAGTGCCATAGAAAATATAGGGTGTTTGGGTTTATAAATGAAACAAAAGGATTAGTACAAATTTCACATTTATAATATGGAACCTATAAAAATGCAATTTAAAATTTTTAATCTCTTGAGAATTAAATTGGAGACATGTATTCAGCTTACTTATATATTAGATTTTTCTTCTCAACTCTGGCTAGCAAGAAATAAGGGGAAAAAAACTTGAAGCCAAATAAATTTAGAATTCTGTAACTTGAGCACTTCGTTCCCTACCCTCATATATAAGTAATATCTGAATTACATATCTGAATGCATAACTGGTGCCTTTATTAACCTGTTCATCACATAATATTAGATGGGAGTTATTGTCCACTATGAAATTCTTGAAACTCCATCGTTAAACATGATAAATGGAGTAAGAAAGCTCTTCTTTTAAAGTATAAATTTCCAAGGCCAGGGATTTAGCTCAGTAAGATCGTGAGTTCAATCCCCAGTACCGCAGAAAGAAAAAAAAGTATAAATTTCCTTGGAATGTCAGAAAAGGGATATAAAAAACTCAGTGCTTTTCATAATTTTATAAGTTTAATCAAATGGAAATCATTTAATATTTTTGATAACACAAGTTGTTTGATTATTTCTACTTTAATAGGGCTTACTTTTGATGCTGGAGATTGAACTCAGGGCCTCGTGCATACCAACTATGCACTTTACCACTGAGTTATATCATCAGCCCCTGATTATTTCTACTTTATACCTGACTTCATTGACAGAAAACTGCCCTTGAGCATTTTAACTGTTATGAAAGGATATAAATTGTTAAAATACAGTGCACATATTTTTCTAAGAAATATGTAAATTCTCAATTATTATTTAACAAATATATTTAATAGGCCATAACATCACTTTTATATCTGCCTGTGTCTGTCTGATATTTTGGGTTTTGTTTTGCTTATGCAAAAATTTAATTTACTGGAAAATATCTTAATATTTGATAGTTATAATTTACTCTTGTATTTATTTACTTTTACTTGGACTTTCTGATATGGAATTCTGGGAGTCAGTTCTATCATTTTACACTCCCCACCATTGCAAAATCTACAAAACAAATTATTTTCAGAAGGGAAAGTTTATGGAGAGCACCTCTCTAGAGGTGGTAGTGGTTTTAAAAAATTTTATTCTATTTTCACCACTCTTTTCCCTTTGATATCCTCTTAATGTCAAGTCATACGCCATTTTTATGAAATATTGGTAAAATGTAGTAAGTTGTCTTTTTTGAGAACAGTTTTGATAAGATGTTCAAAGTTTGTTTTGGTATTTTTGCTAAAAATTTTTATAAAATATAAATGAAATATTGCACATTAGCTGTTAAATAGGTTATGACAGTTTTAGGAAGCAAAATAAAAATACTCCAGTTTTTTGTTTTAAAAGAAATTTTCTTTAGTTTTTAATAACACACAAGCATATTCTTCAGTTGCAATTCATAATACATCCCAATTCCAATCTTAAATTTCCACAAATCAGGAACTGTTAACAACAAATATAGCAAATTACAAAGAAAATGCTATTTTCATGTACAGAGTTTGGTGATATGTTTAATTAAAACAGATACTTTTCTGAAACAGAATTCTTTTAATATATTCTTCTTGCTGCTGGTATTGGATTAAAATTTTTCTGTAGACTTCTATATTGGTGGATACGCAATCCTGCATCTTAGACGTACACTAGTTTCTGCAGTGGGGCATTTTCCAGCATTTGAAATTTAATATAATTAGGTAAGTAATGTCTCTAGTTTTCCTGTAATTACTTTAGTATTTAAAATCAATTAAAATAGATTTGATTTTTAAATAGCTTCCATTTTTAAATTTTCTTAATAGATGAAAATGCCTGCAGCTTTATCTCAGAAAAGATATTCTGTTATTTATGTGAAGCCTAAATTCTTTAATCTTCCTTGTCACTACACAGAGCTCTCTTTATTAATAATTTCATTTTTACTATTTAAAAATAATTCAAATAAAGATTTTACTCCTATATCTTATTTCCTTATTTGCACTAACATGGACTGATAATTTTCAAAGTAGCATAAAATGTCTACAAAAATTTTAACTCCTTCTGAAACATTTTCCACTAAACATTCTTAATATGTCCAAAACACTAAATATTGTCAGTTTGTAAATATAATCACTCATCTGTCATTATTGCAGCTCTATAGGAGTCCAGCAGTATCAAAATATCTTGTGTTCAGACTCTGTCAAAATTATAACCCCTTCTCATGCTATTTTTGCTGTAATTCATTTTTTGTTTGATTTTATTTTTAGTTCAACTGTTGATGCAAAATCAGAGGAAGCTACTAAAATGGAAAAAGGAAAATCAGCATTAAGCAAAGTTTTGGAATCTTTGTGCATACATCACCAGCAACAAGTTTTGGCTATGTTGAAATTTCTAGTCCAAGAGCAGAATGCTACTTCTCTTTGCTGTTGTAATGCATCATGTGCTGTGTCTTCAGAATCTCAAAAGTCCCTATTTGAAGATGATATACATGGTCTATTCTGTAGTTGTGAATATAGACTGGCAGAAAGAGGGCTTTTACAAAATGAAAGACAAAGTGCTGTTTTAGTGCCTCTGCCAGTCTGTATTAAAGAATTACTTTGTTTATCTTGCCATTCTGTAACTATTGAACACATTAAGACAATAATGAATAGAGGAATTGCAAACTGTTATAATTCTCATAGGTGCTATTCTCAACTGTTACCAAACATTGACTCTACAAAATCACCCTTTCATAGTCCCCTTCTGTCAGGGGAAGTATGTGATTTTTCAGTCAGTCTTAAAGATGTTTGCAGATCTCGCAGTCCCTCACCCCCACCATTATCACCTGTAGAGACTGGAGAATTTGAAAAATTGAAAGACGTCATCTCAGAGTTTTCAGCCTTAGAGAATAACACATTTGAAACAAACACTAACCAGCCTCCATCTCTAATACCAGCAGAAATAAGCAGCAACAGTGATCAAGAAAGCAAAATACATAAAACTGAAAAATTTAGTAACTCTGATTCTTTGCTTTCAGATACCAGTGATAATTGTACTACAAATCATGAAAAAGGTGAAACTACTGTGATTTTTCAAGATTTAATGGATCGTATCAATGAAAAATTAAAATCAATAGAAACCACAGATATGACAAATGTTGTAAAACTATCTAGCAGTGATTATAACACAGCTAATGATTTTAAATTGGGAGATTTAATAACATCTCTTGTGCATAATGCAAAAGCCAGTGATTATAGTTTTATGGAATTACTGAGTCAACATGATAAAAAGATAGAAAATAAAATTATTCAGACACGATTTCGAAGGCGTCAACAAACCTTATTTGCACTGCACAACTCTCCTGATTCACCCATGATTAGAAGGCAGTCCTTACAGATAAAAAGACAACTAGCTAGTTTAGATGAAAATTTTATGAGAAAAAAATTCTCTGAAAAAAATTCGAGGAAATTGGTGTGCCATGATACAATATTTTCATCGGACAAAGAATTCCATCATTGCCAAAGGTCTTCTTTACAAAATTCTAAAAGCTTTCAAGATAAAAATCATGCAGAAACATTTTTGCCAAATTATGCATTACAGTCATTGCAACTACCTTACAGTAGTTTAGAAACGAACTTGGCTTTTAATGAATTTTCAAAAAACCTTAAAACACCTGAGAAAATTAATATAAAATCACAAGAGAAACCTGCAGCTGGAATCAAAAACTTGGAAGATAATAGTTTCAATCCAAAATTAGATAAAATTCAAACTCCTTTTAGAGATAATGTTCCTGAACTTTTGAGCAGGACTAAACGAAATATTGTACCCCCAGGATGGTATTCTATTTATGTAACAAATAATTGTTCTTTTAAAAAATCACTTAAGACCAAAAGAGTGTCTGAATCCACACAAAGTAAAGATTCAGTGAAAAATGTTCAAAATGAAAGCTCACAAAATATAGACCTAAACAAAATTGCAATGAATTCTAATTTACAGATTATAGTGGAGCGTTTGGAAGATACAATAAGTAAGACTAAAAGGCCTTGGAATAATAAGCCATCAGCAGGATATAAAGCATCCAATAAATTGATAGAAATTGATGGTAAAGATGAAAATGCTGGGAGAAATATAAATCTTAATTTGAATAGAATGAATAAAGAGCAGAGTTTACCAAAATCTGAGACCACATCAAGCACTATTATCAAAAGTCTTTCAGTGCCTACTGTGGATTCAAATAACAAAAGACTTGATAATCCAAAAAAGTCATCTATTTTAGAGGCTGGTTGCTTGACTGCCAGTGCTGAAAGTGTACCGTCAAAATGTGAAGATACTGAAAGCTCTTTTTCTAACTATTCTAGTCCTATCAAACTCATGTTTTTATCTGAGATTAAAAGTAGTGAAGGAGTCAAATACTCTTTAACTTCAGTTGGTACTTCCCAGTCAAATGTTGATCATCCTTCTGAAAAATGTGCAACCCTTCATGTAACTGGAAAAAAAATAGAAACAAATGAGGATATTTCAAACACTAACTCTGAAAATTACAGTTCTAATCATGATACCGACACATTTCTTAGAGAACTGAACAAATTTAACTGTGCAAAGGAAACTGTAGAATCCTCCACATTGTTTTCAGATGACTTGAATAGTGATAAACCACAAAAACATCTGGAAAATGCAAGCAGTGCTGTTGATTCATCTTTTAAAAGAAAACCAGGTAGACCTAAAAAAATAGGCCCTCAAGTTGTGAAACAGATTAAACGACCAATTGGAAGACCACCAAAACCTAAAACTGATCAAGCAGACATTTCCATTTGTGAGAATGAATCCTTTTGTGCTGGAAAGAAAAACTCAGAATCTTTCATACCAGAAGCAAAAGAAGGTATTTATAAGAAAACTATTACCGTAACTGTTATTTATGGAAGGTCAAGAAGAGCTAAAAGGCATGTATCTGAAGGAACTGTAAACATTAGCAATATTATGTCATTAAACAATAACATTGCTGATTTTTCAGCTGAATACAATGGTCTTGGAAGCCTTAGAGAATATGAAATTGACTCAGGTCAAAGTTCTGGGTCTAGCTGGACCACTGAAAGAGAGAACTTGCAATCTATCTTTGACCATGTAAGACCTGTTAGGAATAAGTCTGTGATACTTCAACCTTCCAAGAACATCATTCGACCAAATCAGAAGCCTTCAGCAATAATTAGGAAGCCTGGTAGACCTGCAAAAGTGAAAATATCTGGCATATCTGTGACTATTAATAGAATTTCTCCTCAGGAAAGAGAAGTAAGTATTAGCAGCTGCTTACCTCCTTTAGAACAGGAGAATACATTAGAAAAAACTCTACCTGAAGAAAAATATGATCAACAGTGCAATAACGTGGATAAAACAAGGTACACTGATGCTGACATTTTAAAAAATGGATCAAAAAGTATGGTTGCTCCTGTACCTTTGAGACATTCTATTAGGGACAGAAAGCGATCTCTGCACTTCTTACGTTCATTAGCAACTTCTAGTTCACTTATTTATAGAAATTCTCTGCTTCATAAATCATACAAACTCCATTTAAGAAAAGGCAAAAGCCTAAAGAAAAAGTACAGGCAGTCAAGGATAAAAATAGCTTCCAAAGATACCCCAGGAGCTAGACATCCAAGGAAGGCAGAAAAATGTTTGGAAGATAACAAATTAATGCCCATTTCTGAAGTGTCTTTAGACCCTATAATATCATCAAATCCTTTGCTCAGGTGGTGGGCTACTTCTGCTTCAAATGATTCTTTATTAGAGGAATTAAACAATAGATTTGAGCAAATAACAAATGCCTGGGTGCAAGTGAGTGGAGATGAAGCTGAAATTTTTGATCATAAAAAAGAATACATTAAAAATGATAATTTCAAATTAGAAAATCCTTTGGAAACTTGTCTTTTAGAACTTGAAGTTTCACCTGTAAAAATGCTTTTTCAGAAAAAGTATGATTTGAATGAACTTTGTACCTGGTTTATGCAAACAACAGAAACACAGTCTCTCTCACTAGTTAGAAAAGCAAATGCTCGAAACCCTTTGGAAATAATAAATACCAAAGGAATTAAGTTAGGGGCCAAATATTGTGATTTTAGTGCCAGTCCATTCAGGAAGCACTTTAAAAAATTTGCACTCTCTTCTCCTTCAAAATCAGCAGGGAAATTGCATGTACTACATAAAATGGTTAACTCTCAGCTCTTAAATGTGAAAAGTAATTTAACACTAGCTAGTTTGAAAAGGACTGAGTTTAAAAGGTTGCACCATGAAAGATGGAGAAGAGAGGGAAAACTGCACAGCCATGGAACAGTTGGTTGGAACTCCAAACGGAGGAATTTAAGATGTTTTTGCCAGAACCAATTTTTAAATAAAACTGAGGGGGGAACAAATGCTGACATTCCGCTCCAAGGAAAAGGCACAGTAGGTAAACATTGTATTTTCCCACCTGAGATCAAGAGTGACTTTTTGCAAGACAGGGTAGCAATGCCTAACTTCAAAATGTATACTAATGTAGAAAATAAAGTTAAGTCAGAAGTGAAGGAGAATGGAATAAATTCCAACCAAAAAGATTTTGAAAAGGGTTCAAAAGTAGGAAATGTATGTCCAAATAATTGGAGGTCAAAAACTTTAAAAGACTGTAGAATATTTTTGAGGAAGATTAACTATCTTGAACATAGGAATACGTTTAAGCTAAATACAATCATTTACTCTCCTGAATCTGTAAACAATGAAAGTAATCATCATACACATATAGAAGAATCAAAGCACTTTACTTTAAGATCTCATTCTGCTAGGCAAAATTCTTTTAAAAAGCAAACTAAAGAAATAGAAAACAGTAAAGCAAATAATGCTTTAACCAATAAATTTGCCAATCAACTTGGCAATAATAAGTTAAGCAAATGTATAAACTTTGACAAAAATTCTTCTGATAGTTCTGAAGTTCTTAGCAAATTGAACAAAAGAAAAAGACCACCATGGAAGACCTCAGAAATATCAACAAAAAGACATAAACGGCAGTCTTGCAACAGTGGACAAATGGCACACTATTTTTCAAAATCCCAACTAGGTAAGTTTTTCTCTGATTAATTTTAAAGTTTCATTGTAGGTGCCTTGAGTAAAGAATAAGCAGCAAGTAGAAAAGAAACAGCTGGTTCCATTTTAATTTATTTCTAAAATATTTGTACAACCTAATTTCTTGGCACCTAGTATGAAACTCATGAAATTAGATGTGGCTAAATGTACCATTCCTTCGCCATAATGTGTCTAGAATTTTAAGCACATAAAAATATGTTTAGTAGAGACAGCTTTTTAAAAATATATCAGTATGCTTTATTACCTTTGCATTAATAGATGTAATATAAAATCAGAAGATAGCTTGATAAATATGACCATGTAACTAAAAATTTACTACATGCTAATATATATTCTCTTAATAAATAACTATGAGGCCATGTGGGAAAGAGTAAATACTTTCTCATTGGAAGCGACCGTAACATATTACAATCCTAGGATATCAGTCTCCTATCCACCATCATGTTGTTATGCCATTTGGTACTGTACTGCTTTGAAATCCACTTATAAGATCTTATTTTAAAAGTGGTGTAAAGATATTTTTTCCAATAAATCAGCAAACTTGAGGATTTTTTTCATATCAGAGATTGAGCTCATTTCCACAGATAGGAAGATGACAGTTCTTTTCCATAGCCTCACAAGACAAAGAGTCTTTGGAAGAGCATTGCTAAATTGAGAATGCAAACAGAAATTACCTTTAACAAGTACTTCTGTGTTTTATTCAGTTACACTGATGTGATATTGGTGCAAAGAAATAATTACTATTTGGAACCAAGCAAAAATATGATACAAACACAATAGGTGCCAATACAGCCATTTCCATCTCTGCTTATTAATAGGTACTAGGCAGTGCAGAATATTTAGGAATGTGAGAGTGCTTACTGATTACTTCCTTCTCATGAAAGAGTGCCAGGTTGTATTTGGAAATTTAAGGACATATTATCACATGGCTACATTGTTATATTATACATCTTAAGGATGTCTTTTGGAGGTTAGGAAGTATTTGTTTATTTTTGTTACACTGTTAAAATCAAAAGTAGAAGCTAAAGTAAGTAATGTCAGTTTCTCATATTAAAATATTAAAAGCAGTAATTAAATTCTAGAGCTTTAATAGGTTAATGGTTTTTATGGGCCCTAAAATTCAATTACTGTAACTAAATAACTTTAAAATGCCTGTTTCAGTAATAGCTACCATGTAATAATTAAAATTTCCAATATCTAACACCCAAAGATTAAAATTTTAAAGATGGTCAGAGTAGAATCTTTATTATGAAATAAATCAAACCTAAAAGTTATCTTTGTTTCTTGTCTTCGATATAACTCAACATAACAAATATATCAGGAAAAAAAGGTAGAAAAGTCCTAATAGTGATTTTTTAAATTTACAATTTACCATTAAAAACACATGTTTTTATGAAGAGTAAAATTTCATTGAACTATTTATATCATGCTCATTTCATACACTTACAGTTTATCAAAGAAAAATTGCATTAATTCATTGTGCAACAGAACCGTATTTTGTCCTTCCAGCTTAACCGTTGTATTTTCCTAAGAAAACTTATTTTAAACATAAAATTTATTTTAATGATTCTTCACCTTACTAAATACAAGACCATCCTAGAAAGTTAGAAGGTGAATATCTAGTTATTGCTTCTTCAAATTAATTTCAAAATCATTTTTGGGTATTTAAAGAAATTTTAGTATCATATGAAGAATGTTTTTTATCTTTGTCATTTTAAAAATTACTAGTGCTATTTCCTGTTCTGCTTAAAATTTTATTTATCTTTTGCTGATAACTTTCCTTCTTTATTTTTAACATTGTTTTTATCAACAAGGACATTATTTTTATAAAGTTGTTTTATAGCAACATTTGTTATATATTTATCTGATTTTTAAGTGTTTCCTTATGGTGTTTTTTTTTCCATTTTCTTAGTATTCCATACTACTTTTTGCCCTTTTGAAATGACACTAAAATTCATTATTAGCTTCATTTATGTTTTTCTTCATAGAATAATTAGGTCTGAAGGCTTAAGAGCTTTTTAATAGTAATTTTCCAGAAAAATGCCTACAATAATGTATTTAATGAATTTTGAATATTCCTCTTGGTGAAAAGTTTTGTTTCTACCATGAATGTTTTGTTTTGTATATTTGATTTTACAATGTACATTTATATACATGGATATAGTTTTAAACATTTTTAATTTTATATTTAATTAAATTTGTATTGCTCTATGTCAAGTGTAAATGTGGAAAGAGAAGAAAAATGCAATTGTGCCCTATTAATTCAACAAATATTTAATGGATACCTACAGTGGTCATTGTGGAAGATTGATAAAGTTCCCTTTCCATCTAAGAGAGAAACAAGACCTACAACATTTTATTCAATAAATAGAGTATATTTCATATCTTAAACAGGATATTACATGCTGTAAGGGAATGGAATGGCTGAAGTTGTGGTTTTTATTCTTAATAGAGCTTACAATCTTATGAGGGATAGAAAAATGAATAGGCAGTCCAGTAAAAGAATTAGTACTATGACAAGAGAGCTGAATTATAGGATACATAGGAGGGAAAATGAATTAAAATTTGGAGAATTAGGCCAAGTTTCCTACATTGTCATAAATAAGCTGAAAGTCAAAGGATGCTCAAATATTAGAAATTGGCAGAAGAGAGTTTCAAGCAGAGCAAACTGCGCATAGAAATTGTGGATAATGAGAGAGTAAACTTGAAGCACTCAATAGTTTATACAAGCTGAGATATAAAATAGGAATCATGGATTAACAAGTTAGGTGGTGGAAAATGGTAAAAGATAAAGCTACTGAAGGAACAAGAGCCCAAATTATGATGTCAACATCTGTTGATGAAAAAAAGTTTTAAGGCTCAGTTGTAGGAGTAACAGAAAACAAGAGAGAAATTTGTGAAGTAAAATCAGTATCTTAGTAGAAAAATGAATGATAACATCCGGGTTTTTGCCTTGAATGTCTAGGAAGATCAGCATTCACTGAGATATAAGAGAACTCTCTGAGGGGGTTCAGTTTTAGTCATAAGGGATTGGACATGTCTACTAGGATATATAAAAAAGACATTCACTAAGCAGTTAGGTAATTTGGGTCTCTTGCTAAGGAAAGAGGCTTGAGTTAAGGAGATTGAGGAGTTAGCAAATAATTGAAGTCACAGAGTAGAGGATTTTATTTAGTGTAAGATTGAAAAATCCTAGGATCTCAGAGCCCCAAAGATACAAAGAAAATAAATGGTTAGCACAGAAGGAAACTGACACAAGCAGTCAAGAGATCAAAGAGGAAGCCTGGAGAGTGGAGTACAGGGAAATACTTCAAGAAAGAAATATAGGACTGAAGGAAGGTATAGGTCAGTGATAGAGCACTTGCATAGTAACACACACAAGGCCCTGGGTTCCATCTCCAGCACTGGAAGAAAAAAAATAAATTGCTGTTAAGAAGCTAATAAAAATAAGCCCTGAAATGCTTCCATTGGATATAAAAACAAGAAGTTAGTGATTTGAGAGAGAGCAACTTTGGTGGACTAATAGAGCCAGAACCTAATTCAATAATAAATGAGTAATGGAAAAAGAAGAAATGAAAACAATTAGCACCAAAAATGGCTAAAAATGAAGAAGAGATAGAAAAATAGCTAAGTGTACATTGGAGTTGAAAGTAGGTGTACAAAAATGTTTAGATGTCAGTGGGAAGCAGCCACTGAAGAATTAAAAAGTTGAATGTACAAAACTGAGATGGCAAGCAGTAGAAATGGAGTGAAGCCCCTGAGTTGATTCCTGGGTTTAGGATCTGCAGTATTGTTAAGAGATTGGTCTTGGCCAGAAGATTCACTTTTCTCTTAAAATAAGAGTAATGCGAACAATAAGTGGAGATTGAAAAGAACATTAAGATTTAGGGTTCATTTTCTGTGATTTATGAGGCTGCCTTAGTGCGGTGTGGTAGGACTGGGTGCTGGAGAATTGTGTATTAAGTTTCAAATGTGTATCTCAGGAAATACAGGATAGATTAACTGATTTTATCTCAGTTGCCAGGATGTAAACAAACTGTGGGGTTTGATAATAGTTGTGTTCACCATGTGGTTACAAAAAGACAGATCAGCATAAGAATGTACCTTTCATTTTATGAACAATGAAAAGTATATGATCAGAGTTGAGTTTTAAATAATCCTTTATGAAAATACCACAAATCACGGACTTGGAAATGGGATGTGTGAAGGACCAGTTACAGAACTAAAATGATACTGGCCTAAAATGGAGTGTAATTGTTGAAAGTAATACAGACTTTCAAATACTGTATCAGTACCTTTTGAGTTCCCAAAGCAATTACATACGTGCCTTTTCCTGATTGATAAATATCTGGATGTAAATAAACTGATCTGAACACTATGAAGAAATTTTTTAAGACTAATATAGGCTTGAAGCTACTACAGACTAATAGTACTTTTCCGAAAATATTAAATTTTCTCATAAATGCACAAAATTCTGTTGATACTTCAGATTGGATTCTGAGATGTCTTTAAAATATTCAGTGTGTCAGCTTCTCCAGTTTAATACTCTGTCCTCAAAAATTACTGAATATATGTTTTTTCCATTCAGAATTCTGATTTTACACGGGTTTATAATGATGGGTATACTTCTTGAACGACCTGAAATCAAGACTGACCATATATCCTCCTCTGTTCCTGCTTATGAACAGTTTACCACATTTTCTGAACATTGAACACAAGATGTTCTTTTAAATGTGTGTGGTTGAGGCAACCTGTTGCACAAAATGTTCTTAGTCATCATTGTCTAAAATTTAGAGTTCCTTCATGTGTTGTTATTCAACACCATAATTATCATTTAATGGAAAAACTGAGAAGCACAGAGTAGATGATATTCTAAATTTAATTTTGATAGAAAAACATTTCCAGTTGATTCACAGTCACTTAATCTAGACTGCTGCACAAATACTCCAAAGATGAATTCCAAGGAGTACTCACCACCTTCCTACACCCCTCTCACTCTGCCAAGATTCTTTGTGTGCACAGCATTCTGAGATCAGTTCTTTTTCTTGTTCTTACCAAGTCACAGTGGCCCATTAGCATGTTAAATTGTATTTCCCAGGCTGGGGATTTGGCTCAGTGGTTCCACCGCCTGCCTCGCAAGCGCAAGGGCCCAAATTTGATCCCTGATACAAAAAAAAAAATTCTATTTCCCAAACTTTTTGTGTATCACATAGAACAGTTTGGGGAACATGATTAGAAACACTGCTCTGTATAACTGCCCACTACTTCCTTTATATTTTATTGTGCTCTTTCCAGAAAGAATGTAATAACTGTAAAGATGTTAATTTACATTCTGGGGGCTTTATTAACATTCACCATTTTAATACCTATAAGCAAAAAATGATCATTCTGTTCATTCCATTTTGCTCATTAGAGTTTTTCATGTTAAGAAGGGGTGAGCTATGGTAGCAGTAAGTTCTAGAATCTTTGCCACCTACCTTACAAACCATGAGAAAATGTTTGACTGTGAGTTTAGGAACGCATAAGATCAGTGTCTTCTCAAGTATATATCTCTGGTTGTAATTTGGCCAGAAGTGGGTAAATGAAAGAGTTATTTTAATGTAAAAGTTGATTCACTGATATATCCTTTTTACCTGGACTTGATCTTGCTGATTTGCTAGTGCCAGTGTCTTAAATAAAACTATTAAAACTTTGACTCTGTTATATGAAGTATTCTAATGAAATTACATATTTTAATTAAAGTCTATTCTGTTTATTATTGAGTTTTTTATCCATTTTTTAGGAATTGAGTAAAAGTTTTATTGTCTTGACGAGTTTGTAACTTTTGCCAAAACACTTTTAAAATATAAAACAACTACTTTGATAGCCTTTGTCTTGATTTTTTTTCTTAGAATTTTTCTTGAATATTCATATCTCACTGCTTTATCAGTGATTCCTCAGTTTTCAGGATATTCTGTTTTTCTAGTTGCCACATATGTTTTCATAGGTAAACCATT